CGCCCTGAAGATCCAGCTGCAGCCCATCATGGACCAGATCAACAGGAAGTACAAAAAGTTCAGGCAGCCTGTCATCCCACCAGCTCAGATTGAGTACCTGTTTCTCGAGTCGGATCCCAACTATGTGCGGCCTGACGTTGAGGGCGCCCAGACGCGACCCTTTGAGATTGTCAAGGACAAGCATGGTAATGACGTTCTGAGAGACACTGCGACTGGCAAATGTTACTACAATCTCGAAACAACAACCATCGAGGAACGTCTCTCCAACGGATTTTACACTCGGCCAAAGGATTTCCTTTTCGACATTAAGGCACTCGCGAGGGACGCCAAGAACATCGGAGACAAAGAACGAACCCTCAAGGCCAACGAACTTCTCAGCAATGTCGAGGTTGACGTCGCTAGTATCGAGAATCAAACCTCGCAGATTGACTGGGAAGGGCTTTACCGACGTCAAGTCCAGCGAGCCAAGGACGCTGCCGAGAAGGAACGGAAGAGAAAGGCAATGCAATCGCTCGTGGACCGTGTTCAATCTGATCTCGGGGGTGGCAACGACAGCGACTCGCAGGGCCCAGTCACCCTGGGAGAGACAGTGCCTGGATCGCGGACAATGGCCAGATTCCAAGTGAGAAGCCCGCTGTCTAATGGCCACGGTTTCTCAGGCCAGGACTCGCATCCCCTCAGCAATGGCACAGGTCATCCTTCTGGTGATGACGTTCAGATGAGTGGAGTCGACGACGACACACAGGCTGCTTCTCAGATGGGACCTCCGCCTAAATCTCATGAGCACCTTAGTCTGGCACACACGGGAGTGACGCAGATCTCGCAAAAGTCAGCCGTGACATCCCTACCACCCGGAGTTTCGCCTTCAGCAGTGATCAATGAGGCCTCGACAACTAAGACATCAGACCCCTCTGATCATCGGTCATCCAACTTTAGCACCCAGATGACTAATGGCACTCATACTGAGAACAGAGGTGGTGGTGAGGATGATACTACTGAACTCGATATCCCAGACACTCTTGAGGTAACGGGTCAGAACGAGTCCTGGATGCACTCTCAAGCCCAGCAGGCGGCTGCAACAGGCAACCCCTTGCCAGGGTCTATTCTGTCAGGCAGTCCGCCTTCGCAGCGCACGTCTGGCTTTAAGGCTCACAGCGTGGGTGGAATGGCGAACATCCTGAACGACCACAACTCTGATGATCATCATTCCATCCGCAACTCAGGCTCGTCCGGTTCTGCTTCTCAGCCGCTCACGGCTGACGAGGTGGAAACGTTTCTGCACAACGTGACAAACATGACGAGCGGCTGCACCATTGAGCAGCTGGAACAGATCAACCGTGAGCTCATGGATGAGATTTGGCGTACAAGGCACGAGTGGAACCGCAGCAGGGTCATTGGATTCGTCACGTCGGTGTTCAACGACACCATGCGGGACATTGACAGCATGCAGGAAGTTGCTCCGCCCAGCCAACGGCAGAGCTTTTGAGGGAAGGATCGGAGTTGTGAAATGTCAAGTTAAGGGATACATCATGTAAAGGAAAAATCGGAAGCCAGTGCAAAGAGTTGGGTGATTGATTGAAACCATGTTTAGGAGTTGGGGTGTTGCAGCCGTTTGGCTAGGGATGGAGGAGAGATGTGTCTGTCTGGCTTAGAGGATATCAAACACTACACAGCTTATTTTTTTCATATTATTTGCTTCCTGTACACTGATCTCTTTACCCTCATGTATGCATAAAATACATTTAAAGATTCCGCATGTTTACAACTTGGACTTGGTGCTATCATATCGCTTCCCTTCATCGGCCTGCTCAGCCACTGTGAGGTCTGGCAGCTTTTGGGGCATGATACGACGGGGTGAGGTCCCTGGGACGACGTTGTACTTGGAAAAGTCTGTGACTCCGGCGTGCTCACGGAGAAAGTCCTCGTCGAGGAGGAGTTCACCATTGACGACAGAGGGGGGAGCTTGGAGGATGGCGAGGATGGCATCGGAAAAGATGGTTGCCTTGCGCAGGTCGTTGGCTTCGTCTGGGTTCTTGACAGTGAACTGTTGAGTAGCAGCAGATTCGATGGCCTGACAATAATTAGCTGGGTTCTGTTTAACAAGTTAAGTTGACGCACCACAGCTGGCCATATGCTCGTGATAGCCATGTCCTTCTTTCCCTCACGCTCAAAGTCCATGGCAAGCCCTTTTGTCAAGACACTCATTCCTATCTTGCCCATGGCATATGCCGTCTTGCCGCGGAAGAAGCGGCTGTAGATTGGAGGGCTGACGACTACTATACGACCTGTGGAGGGGAGATGAGGAAGAGAAGCTTGGACTGTTGCGTAGAGTCCTTCTGGGTTGACGCGTTGCATGAGCTGGAAGCGTTTCACGGGAGTAGACGCCACGGGGGCCCAGAAGATGGCGCCTGAGTTGTAGATGAGGACGTCTAGACGACCGTATGTCTGCTTGTGTTAGTGGTGAATGTAAGGGGGTTGGGGAAGAGTTACCGAGAGTGTTTTGGATATGAGAGCATCGACACTCTCTGTGGAGCGAACATCGACTTGGACGGCTGTTGCTTGGCCTCCAGCTTCAGTGATCTCCCTGGCTACAGTGGTGATGGTTGAAGCGGAGGAGTTGGGGTCTGGCGGGAAGGGCCCTGCGGGCTTGGATGGGTCGCTGATGGTTTTAGCAGCAACGACGACTTGATTGTGCGTTAGTTGAGATGTATAATCCTTGAAAGAGTGTTACAGACCAGCATAGCCATTCCGGCCAAGGTCAACGGCGACCTGACGGCCGATGCCCCGTGAGGCACCGACGACAAGAGCGACAGGCTTTGTAGATGTCATGACTACCGAGTTAATTGTGTTTTCACAGACTATCTGGATGATGCCTCGGGAAACTTCTTCCCTCTTGAATTCACATATAAGTATATCTACGGGTTGATTACTGATACGGACAGTGATGCTCGGCACCCCCTTGGCTCGGTGGTGGATACGTAAACTATCCGAACCTCGGCATCCCCACACCCCACATGGAACCCGGGGGCCCCGCGTCCGCTCCGCGTTTTTGGGTAACACGGGGGGAAGGATCACGTCTTAAACAATCAAGATCACAACAACTACTTCGTATCTTTTCTATCAAATAGGAGAGAAGGATCAGTAAACAACTGCAGAAGATGGGAGGAAAGATTGATTGCTACCTGGACATTGGTGAGTATTTGTGATAAGATAATCTGGGGAGTTGCTGATGGTTGTAGTGTCTTTTTATAGCTATGTTGGGTATGTGGATTTGAGGCAGAACATTGACAAGCTTGCTGCCCATGGAGTCAAAGTAGAGTATGTACCTTCATTTCTATGTAACTCTCTTATCAATTACTAACTCGTTCAGATTCCACCCCGTCTTTCTCGGAGGCATCAACAACCTCTCCGGTATGACACACTACATCTTTTCCTCCTCTTCTTCTTACAAAGTTCTAGGAAACAAGCCTCCTTGGATACTCCCAGCCAAGGCCAAGTATCTCGAGGATGATAGTCGCCGTGCGGCTGCTCGCCTCTCAATCCCATACCAAGGTTCACCACCTGACATCTTTGCCATCGCAAAGACCCTCTCACCACTACGCGCTCTACAATTCATCAAAGAAAACTACCCCGAGTCTACCTTTCTCGCAACCTTTCGCTTCTTCTTTCACAAGACATGGTTACCTCCGCATGTAAACCTCGCCGAGGACGCCAACCTCATCGCAGCACTTTCTGAAGCTACGGATGAACTTGATGGTGGATCGGGAAAGAAGCTTTTCACGGATGAGGATGTCAAGAAGATTATGGCGGGGAGGGAGAGTATGAAGGAAAAGGTGAAGCAGTTGACGGCTGAGGCTGTTGATAAGGGTGCTTTTGGTGCGCCTTGGTTGTGGGTTACGAACAGGGATGGAAAGTCGGAGCCGTTCTTTGGGAGTGACAGGTGCGTATTCGTGGACTTGATTCTGCTGAATGAGACTTTTTCTAACTTGTGTATAGGTTCAATCATGTGTATCGATTCCTGGGGATTCCGTTCCATGACGTCGAGGTGCTACCACCTTCATCCAAGCTGTAAGTCAGGTATTCGCATTGGAGACTTAGATGGGAGTGAAAGAATTATCGAGAATTCCAAGGAGAGTTTATTTTCAATTAGCAATTAACCGCCATTAAATCAAGCATAATCATTCCTGAATTTTCGTGACATGTATTTGCCTGTATCTTAGCCAATTGTAAGTGACACAAACCCACTCACTCAACTTGACCCAAGACACTCCACCAAAATCTTCAACCATCACCATCACCAACAACAAAAATGCAGCCTCTTGAACTCACGCTCATCGTCGCCGCGACGCGAAATATGGGCATCGGCGCTCACGGGACGATGCCCTGGACTGGTCTTCGCAAGGAGATGAGATACTTTGCGCGCGTGACGACACGGATTCCGCCCCAGGTACTCGATTCAATCCATTCACACCGCATCAGATACTGGAAACTGACAGTGTTTAGTCACCTCCTGCTTCTCTAAACGCCGTAATCATGGGCCGTAAAACCTGGGACTCGATCCCCGTCAAGTTCCGACCTCTCAAAGACCGTCTCAACATCATCATCACCCGCTCAGCAGGTCCCGAAGACCCAACACCAATCATCGGCGACAAAGAGCCCATCCGAGTATCATCCCTAGAGCACGCGCTCCGGTACGCCCGAGCCCGAACCGACGTCGCACGTGTGTTCGTCATGGGCGGTGCGCAGATCTACGCAGCAGCTCTAGAACTATCCGAGGCCCGACGGGTGTTGCTCACAAGTATCGAGCGTGACTTTGACTGTGACACTTTTTTCCCGATTGAGCTAAAGGGCGAAAAGTCCGGAGACTGGGTTAAGAAGCCGAGGGAGGAGCTAGCGAGTTGGACTGGTGAAGACATTTCTGAAGATGGTGAGGAAGAGGCGGGGACCAAGTATGAGTTTCAAATGTGGGAAAAGATAGATTAGAAGAGTCAAAAGACAGTAATCCAAATGAGATGGGATATCATCCATGCATTATCTTCGTATATACATAGGTACAACAATCAAAGATGCCACAAACCCGTCACTCCCCATGCCCTACCTATTCATACACCCCTTTTTTAACAACCCATCCCGGTTCTAATTTTTTGCATAGTTCATAAACATCTGATAATACATAGCATCATCCTCTCAAGTCGCAGAGACCTTGGCCGCTCCCTCTGGCGGCACAACCTCTGCCTCATGCTTCACCGGCTCCCTCGTCGGGGTGACGTCGTCTTGCTGTCCGCTTAGCTGCTTCTCCAGTCTTGTCCAAAAGACGTCGACGGGCTTGTTGAGAATCTGGGGAAGTTGTGTAGCGAGCATGTTATCACTGACAGCCTCAAACTGTAGCAACGTCGATCGCATCCAGCCCACGATAGCAAGCAGAGCACGAGGGTCAGCGTCGGGAGATCCCTTGAACAGGTTTCTCCAGACAGCACTCGCCAGCATGGCATCGCCCTTGATCAACCCCTCATCATACGCCAGCAGCAGACCCCGCCACTGCACAAAAATATCCTTGAGGTAGCGCTGCCGCAGGGCGCTCGACGTAATGTGATGATCGATGTGCATCTTCTTCTCGCACTCGAAAAAGAAATGATCCGTCAGCTGGTGCTGCCAGTTATGGAAGGGCTCGCGCTCGAAGCAGCGTATCCGGGCGTTGATGAGGTAGAGGTGAAGCATGGTGACGTGGGACCAGGTGCTGAATGTAGGAGGGAGTTTGAAGGCTAAAGATGTTAGCAATTAAAGCATGAATTGAGCAAGTGACAGACGTACTGTGATGCCATACGCTATCTGGGTTCAGAGAGTGACCAATCTCTTCACCATCCTCCGCAAGCTGCACCTGATCATTCTTCCGCTCCTTCTCGGTGATGTGGTAGTCGGCAGCCTTTGAAGACGCCTTGAACAACTGCTCCGTAGCACCCAACACGCGATAAGGCTCAGCCATGGCACTCCCGAGGCCCTTGAGGAGGCTCCTCTCGCTCGTCTTGCTAAACTGCCTCACGGGGATCGACATGGGCGCCCTCGCGGGGGTTATAAAATTCGTCCTCGGGGCAGTGGCAGCCCGTGATGCGCCGGCGAGGATTGCAGCCCGGAGGACGGTCCGGGCCTGTGTCCTACAGGTCTCGCAGGTCAAGCTCATTGTGAGTGATGTTCTGGGAGGGAGATTGAGAGGCGTCGGGTCGAGGAGGGAGAAGGCTGGGTGTGTTCGGGGTCCTTCACGTCATGGCCGGGTGCATGACGGCTTCAATTCTTCAATGGCAGAGAAATTGTCTGCCATGTGAGTGGCCCGGGAGAATGTCGGCAGTGGGGGACCCTGGGTGCTATGGGCACTGAGGCACACTGTGCAAATAACCTCCACAACCACCGCAACCATGGAAGCAACATCAACAGCTCCTGTAAGAATCATGATGAATAAAAATACATATTTTTACATTTTACAGAGGTGAGATTATTGGAATTTGGAAAACACCAATGAGCTGTTTGTTCCACCAAATCCAAAGCTATTAGAGATGGCCACTCCAATATCCTTCTCTTGCGCTTCCTTGGGTACAAAGTTGAAGGCGGCTCCAACATCAGGCTTCTCCAGGTTCAGCGTCGGAGGCACAATTCCCTATAAAAAATTGTCAATCATAAGCCCCAGTGCTTCTTAGAGAGCTTCACGTACCTCATGGATGGCTAGGATGGAGAACAGAGCCTCAATGGCTCCAGCAGCGCCAAGCAGGTGTCCAACTGCACCCTTGGTGCTGCTAACAGTAATATCTGACTCGCGGGAGTGGCCCTCGTCGCCCATCATGAGACTTCGTATGGCTGAAGTTTCGGCTATATCGCCAACTTGGGTAGCCGTGGCATGAGCGTTGACATAGTCGATCTGCGAAGGCTTAATGCCTGCATTCTTCAGAGCCTTTTTCATGGCGAGAAGCGCACCGCGCCCATCTTCCCGGGGCGCTGTCATGTGATACGCATCGCCGCTGCAGCCGTAACCCTTGATCTCTGCGTAGACGCGAGCCCCTCGCGCCTTGGCATGCTCCAGCTCCTCGAGCACACATACAGCAGCACCTTCAGCGACGACGAACCCATTCCGATCAGCGTCAAACGGCCGACAACTTGCCTGCGGATTATCGTTATACGCCGTTGATAAAGACCTTGCTCTTCCGAAGCCAGCAAAAGTCAAAGGGTGGATGCATGACTCTGAACCTCCCGCGATCATGACATCAGCATCTCCCATGGCGATGAACCGTGAGGCATCTCCGATTGAGTGGGCGCCAGTTGTGCAGGCTGTCGTGACAGCATGATTCGGACCCTGCAATCCGTACTTCATAGCAATATGGCCAGCAGCCATGTTGATGAGAATCTTTGGGACGAAGAGTGGTGACACCTTTTTATATCCCTGACAAGCAGTCAGCAGCGGCTCTCTCTTGCTCAACTCGAAGTAGCCTTACACCTTTATCGTGGGCCAGACTCATCTCGTAGATATCTTCAAGATTTCCAATACCGCTTCCGAGACATACACCTGTCTCTTCCAGCTCACGCTCATCTTTTGGCTCCCACCCAGCGTCCTTGAGAGCCATGTCGCTGGCAGCAATGGCGTACTGCGTAAATTTGGACATGCGGCGCTGTTCTGTCATGCTGACCCAGTCTGAAGCCCTCCATTTACCTTCTCCTTCTCCACTGGGAACTATCCCAGCTACCGTACTCGTAAGTTCCGTCCACCGCGCCCGAGGCTCCAAGTCTGCAACGCTGACGATGCCGGACTCGCCGGCCAAGAGACGGGTCCAAGTTCGCCTGACGCCGACTCCTAGGGGCGTGATGGCGCCGAGGCCAGTCACTACTACCCGACGCATTATGATTCCATTCCGAGTTTAACAAGGGGAAAGTATGAGAAGTTGAGGTTGAGATGTAAGAGGTAGATCCGGGGTCATGTCGAAAATTTCCCACTTTGGTTTAGCGCACTGTGCTTCCCGTTCATGATGCAGGTGCGTTGCATCGTCATCTACGATAAGCCATTGACAATCAATTCAAGGTTCCTTTCTTTGTATCTTTTTATATCTGCAATATTCATCTAAATATTTCATCTTTTTTATATGGGCTTCTGACAAGATATATATGTTTTTAAATTGTCATGCCCCCAAAATCTGAATAAGACGCCACCTGCTCAAAACGGAGCACAAAAGACGCGAAGCAAACACGTTTCACCTGCTGCTCCTACACTGAGACAACTTCTTTGACGACTAAAAATCTCGACAAAGATCTCGTTCAATCTTGGATATTCATTGATTTATCTGATATATAGCGTTTTTGTGCTGTTCTTTATTGCACGTGGCATCTTCCTAGTCGAGACGCGTCTACACGTCAGCTCTTACTGTCTCACCCCCATAGTCTCCGGGACTTTCTACGAGGACTTTCCGGTGGATGAACTCGAGCTGATATCGGTGAATCTGGGGGCCAAGAGGCTTCAACAGTCTCATCATGCCTCGTAGTCAGAAGCCAGGCTCGGCAATGCCGGCGGAGGCCATCGGACAGACCATTGGGGGCCCTAGTGGGCGATTGTCAACATCGCTAGAGGCGGAGGATCCCTCAAGCGATAACCTCAAGCATCGCCTTCATGAATGGGCAGCCAGCGGAGCTCGGAATGATGACGACGATGATCAGGGCTCAGAGTATGAGCTCCTCATGGATCCCAATCTTCCCGAGGAGTATGAGACGAGACGAAAGGGTTCAGAGGACTCGGGCGATGAAGCAGCTCTTATCAAGGACGATGATGAAGATGAAGAGGAAAACTCTCCTTACCCAGAAGTCAGAGCCGCAGTCCGAAACTACGACGAGGACCTCCCGTGCAACACAGTCAGGGCCTGGACCATCGGCATGCTCCTCGTCGTCCTGGGCGCCTCGATGAACACCCTCTTCTCCCTCCGCCAGCCCTCTATCGGCGTCGGACCGCTCATCGCCCAGATCATCGCCTGGCCGATGGGCCACGGGTGGGCGAGGTTCGTCCCGGATAGGGAGTTTACCACGTTTGGTGTTAGGTGGACGCTCAACCCGGGGCCGTTCAACATCAAGGAGCATGCCATTATTGTCGTCATGGCTAGTGTTTCCTTTTCGGTTGCCTATGCTACGGATATTATCCTGGCCCAGCTTGTCTTTTATAAGCAGAATTTTGGCATTACGTTTCAGCTCCTGTTGACTATTTCGACGCAATCGGTGGGATATGGGATTGCAGGCATGCTACGCAAGTTCTTGGGTGAGTCTACCTCGAGAAACGACGAGTTCAAAAGCTGACCCTCAAAGTGTACCCTGCCTCTATGATATGGCCCGAGAACCTCGTAGGCGTCACCCTCATGAACGCCATGTACGAGAGAAACGATGCGCCAGATCCCACCATCATCGGAGGCACCATGCACCGTTACAAGTGGTTCACCATCGTCACAGGCTGTGCCTTTGCCTACTACTTCATCCCGGGCTTCCTAGCCCAGTTTCTGAGCATCTTTGCTGTTGCCACCTGGCTGGCGCCTCAGAATCCCGTCGTGAATCAGTTGTTTGGAGGTCAGACGGGTCTGTCACTTCTTCCTATCACGTTTGACTGGACGCAGGTTGCGGGCTACGTGGGCTCACCACTCATTCCGCCTTGGTAAGTTGAACTGTCTTGGCTTAACTGTAGGATGCCCTCTGAACAAATATAGGCATGCTATCGCCAACACCCTCATCGGAGTTGGCACATTCTTCATCGTGCTCTCGTCGTTTCTTCACTACGGCGGAGCGTGGTATGCTGAATACCTTCCAATGAGTGACTCGAGCACATACGACAACACAGGAGCTCCGTACAACACGACTCGCATTCTAACGCCCGAGTTTACTCTAGACGAGGAAGAGTACAAGAGCTACTCGCCCCTATTCATCAGGTTTGTCAAACTCAAACCCAAGAGTAACTTTAGCTCACAGAGTCAAGCACCACATTTGCCATGTCCTACGGTCTATCCTTTGCCGCTATATCATCCCTCGTCGTGTACACCTACCTGCACAACGGAAAACAGATCTGGCAGCAGTGGAGGAACAGTACTAAAGAGAAGCCGGATATCCATATGAAGCTCATGAACAAGTACAAGGAAGCTCCTACGTGGTGGTACATGTCTCTCTTTGCTGTTGCAAGTTCCCCTCAGTTCTTTCTCAAGACGCATGGCTAACAGTCGTGCAGATGCTTCTCATTGGGTTCTACACTGTTCTCGGGTTCCCTACAAACCTCAGTTGGTGGGCGTTCCTGTTGGCTATTGCCATCTCGTTTGGCTTTGCTCTGCCGATTGGCATTATTCAGGCTGTTACAAACACTCAGATTGGACTCAACGTCTTGACCGAGTTCATCTATGGCTACATCCAGCCGGGTCGTCCTCTGGCACTGATGATGTTTGTAGATATCTGTCACTTGGATGAACTATGCTAACTTTAACTCTAGCTTCAAGACATATGGATACATTACAATGCAGGTTTCTCTTTCTCTAGCGCCTTGAACAGTAGCTGACCGTCACAGGGCTCAATCCCTCCGCTTCGTCTCTGACCTCAAGTTCGGTCACTACATGAAAATCCCGCCTCGAACAATGTTTCTAACCCAGGTCGTGGCCACGACCTTTTCATGCTTCATCCAGATCATAGTCTTGAACTTGGCTCTGAACAATATTGAGGACGTCTGTGAGCCACATCAGGCTGACCACTTTACATGCCCTGGCGGCCGCGTCTTCTTTGCTGGTGAGTAGACACTTTCAACTATGAAACATCGTCTAACATAACATAGCCTCCATCATCTGGGGTCTCCTCGGCCCTGCCCGCATGTTCTCCCCCGGCCAAGTCTACTCGGGCCTTTTCGCCTTCTTCATAGTCGGCGCCATCACGCCCATCATCATCTACCTCGCCGCCAAGCGTTGGCCCAGGTCCCCCGTCCGCTACCTCATGGCACCCCTCATATTCGGCGGAGCCGGGTCCATCCCCCCGGCCACGCCCCTTAACTACCTCTCCTGGGGCGTCGTGGGCTTCGTCTTCCAGTTCTGGATCAAGAAAAGGCACTTTCGATGGTGGACAAGGCTCAACTTCCTCACCTCATCGGCGCTCGACCTCGGCCTCGCCCTGGCTACGCTCTTCATCTTCTTCGCTTTTACACTGCACGGCGTCGAGCCGCCTAGCTGGTGGGGGAACAATGTCGTGTCTACCACCATGGATGTCCAGGGCACAGCAATCCAAGCGCACGTGGCCCAGGGGGAACGCTTTGGCCCTGAGAGCTGGTGATGAGTGAGAGGGGGAATCACTGTATGCTAGCACTTTTTTGAGCCGCCCCTTCAGAGACATGGCAATTCAAGACTTTTCTCATCTATACGCCCCCCTCCTCAGAGACAAACACTTCCCAACTGCCGAGCTAGTATCTGGCAAATGAGACGTGGCGTACGTTCACGCAGCTGACAATAAGCCTCCGCCTTGGTCTTGTACGTCCGGGGCGTTATCCGCATAACTAACACATTGCTTTTTTTCTCCTCGCCCGCCGATCATGCAGTCTAACAGGGGGGGCGAGGTACATATCTTGTATATACACACATCTGTCCCAGACCGCTCTTGGACCAACCGTACTGTAAGAAGCAAAAGTCGATTTATGCTGCTTCTCCTGCATACATGACAAACTGCGTCTCTCCCCCCCGGCCCTACTGTTCCATTCGTCAAGGCTGCACCGGAAGTTGCTTCCGAAGTTTTGCTGAAGAAAAAATATGATCTATCAAGCAAACATTTTCAAGGATATCCCGCGTTTCCTCCCCCCAATCTCATTTGCAGTACAGAAACGCCAAGCAGGAGGGCCCTTTCCGGCTCACCGGGTCTCGCAGTTTGGGCTGAGTGCGGGATCGGGTTAGAGTCCAGGAGATCACCCTCCCTCTCTAGTCCGTACTTCGTACGACTACCAGAAACAGGATGGTCGGCGTGATGGTCCCGATCTGTTGGTGGTTGTCCCGATCTGAGTCGGAAGGGTGTTCCGGTGTGACTATCGATGTAGGTATGCAGGCATGCATGTTGGGGGCCAGAGTAGTGTCATATCATGCTCTTCTGGTCTGTCATCAAATCTGTCTGGTCTGGCTTGATCAGCTCCTTGTCCTTCAGACCCCAGTTCAACCATCTTGTTGATAAACACCAAGTCACTCAGCCAGCAGCCTCACTTTGTGGCCCCTGCCGTGCCTAGGCGTCCATCAAGCTACATGTTCTACTCTCGTGTGGTAGAAACGTCTTATTCAAGGATGGTGACTTGAAATATAGCTACATTAGAATCCAATGCCTATTAAATATTCAATAACCCAGTTGCCCTTTTCTCATCATACAATACCGAGGCAACCTGCTTATCTGACTTTGGTACACTCAGCGACTCAACTCCCATCTCATCCCCAGCCACACTCCCCTGTCAAGCTAGACCAGCCGTGTCACACTCAAGTACTTCCTTGTTTTGACAACCGCCAATCGAAACCAACCTCGCCATCTTCACCATGTGAGCTCCCTGTACCGTCAGTCAGGCCCTGGGATTGAGGCGTATTGTTCTCCGTGAATGAGACCGTGGGCCACCCCCCTAAAAGACCGCCATCTTTGCTTTGCGTTCCCCAGGGATACATGGTTGCCAGCGATCCACGGCGGCTCTCGCATGGCGAAATCCAAGCATCGTTGACTGGTGAGCAAGAAGGAGGTCGATTTTGAACGAAGCTCCCTGTAGACAGCTGGTACAGCTCGCCATTACCTGCCAATCCGGCATCTTTTTTCCAGCATTCCTCTGATCTCTCTCCCTTCTTCGCCTGTCGAAACGACTCCAAGATACCAACAAACTTGTCGGCATGACGGTGTGGACCTGCTGACATCTTCAAAGCGTCCATCGCCTGAGTTATCCAGAATTCAGCATGTGGAACATCATGTATGCCGGCATAATCGTTGCTGAGCACAATGAGAGCCGCGTCAAATAATATGTGCCTTGGCTTGGTTAGCACATGTGTCAGGCAAAAGCGAGAGACTGGTACTTACAGAGTCGAAGAATCAAAAACACGCATCTCGTGCGAATCAATGGCCCACCTGATGAGCTTGATCATCTGAAGCGATTGGTATACGCATCTTTCGCTCAGCTCGCAGGTGATACGCGATGGTCTTGTCATGCATGTCCGTATCAGTCCGTCTTTATTAACTGTTGTTTTCATGAAAATGTCCAGAAAAAAGGGTCGACAGAGAAGAATATTGGCGTAATGGCCTAGGATGTGAGCTTTGAGCCAAGCCCTAGCGAAGACGCTGGCGTCCATCGCCGTTGGCAAAGACAGCTTTGTCAACGATGGATTCCGCCTGGACCAAGCCTCGAGATCCTTCATCATCCCGTGTGCTGCCTCGGAACAGATCCTACTACTTGAGTAGACCTTATTCAGGACTTGACCGATGATATCGCACACCTCGACGGACGCATCAAGTACGGAACGTGATCTTCCATGATTGGATGATGCCGCTGGTACTTGGAGTGAGTTGTGAGAACAGTCTTGTTCTGACATTGCCAGCGGTCGCCCCAGAGATGCTGCGAGAAATCTGTCAAGGACAAACAGGCTTCTCCAAATGTTTCGTCTCAGAAGCTTTACATGCTGGTCAGTAAACAAGATATCCGTTCGAGGGGCCATATGTATTCCAAGGGCATAAGCAGATCGAACAGCCATTCCTACAGCTGTGTTAGCTTTGGTTGTAGCACGAGAAATGTTATGATACTCACCACAGTACGCATAGGCAGCATTCCGTCGTGATACCAGCAACGCGAAATACGACATCAGCGCAAGAGCCTGGACAGACCACAACCCGCCATCTTCGGACCAGCCCTCATCCTCAAAGGCCGTCATTGGGTCTCCTATTGATTTCGCAGCGGCAAACAACCTTTCTCCCCATTGGTCATCAAGGATACGCATCTCATGAATGACAGCATTGTGGTCTGGAGACAGGGAAACTGGGCCCATGGTAAACCCAATGGCCAGAACGAGATATACGAGACAACGATCTGAAGCGGCAGCAGACTCTGGCGCGGCGTAGACCCGGGTCAAGGCCATGTCTGTCCAGTTCGGGTCCAAAACCCAAAGCAGGCCTTGCATCTGTTGGAGTTAGAGACGCTTTTCAGCATGGACACAGCAAGAATAACCTACGTTGTCAAAGAATGACTTTGTCAATATCCTAGCATGCTCTATCTCAGGCAGCAATGGTTGAGTCTGAGGCGAGGAGGGGGCTATAAAGGGAGCTTCTGGCATCTTGAAGCGGTCGGGGTCGTCGGTAAAAGAAGAGTCTCCCGAAACGAACCCCACGACAGTGCTGATGACAACCAGGGAGGAGGACGTCGAGGAATTACCAACATAGACTTGGACTTGTTAGCAGCAGCAAGCAACAGAGCCTTAATAGACGAGATACTCACAGCCCCTGTTAGTGAGGTCTCGCATCATCCATGCTTCAGTGTGCAGTTCCACTTCTCCTGGCTTCAAGGCGACGAGGGCTTGGTCAAAGTTTGAGCTGGAAACCCATATTGGCAGGACTTTTTGGTGGTGTCCATCGTCCGTGTTGTCTGAGTCCATGTCCGCGTAAACATAGCCAGAGGAATCAGGGGACTGGTCAGCACAGCGTCGTTTTGATGGCGAGGCCGGTACGACCCGGTTACTCGGTTCTGGACTTTTGTCGCCATGGTCCCGACAAACCACTCTTCTCTTGCGACAGGGATTGCAGGGCCTATGAGAATCGCACTACCCAAGACTAAGTTAGTAGTGATAAGGAGATGTGGTGTTATGCGAGCATAGATGTATGAGAAGCGACTTTGGGCTCAGCCAGTGTCGGCAAAAGACAGCGAAAATTGTAAATTGTGAAAGAATTTGAAAGACAATGGATGACTGGGAAGTTGTAGGTAACCAGGGGTTTCATGCAAGTGGTGGGTGAGTGCATGGCGGCTCAATAGCCGGTTGTGTAACATGTGCTCAACTCATGGACGGGAAACAGGGGCTTTGTTCTTGGCTGGGTTGGTCTCTCACCTTCTGTTTGCGTTTCTTACAGGTGTTACAAGCCGTTGCGGCTCTCTTGCGCATGTCGGGCCGCACCCTGGCTCGCGTCATCGCGGATATGTATGCAGGATGTATGCACCAAAGTTTGTTGGTGAATAAGGGGGTATATGGCAGCAAAGAGATAGGGTCAAAATATGATAACAAAACGAATGTTCTCCCGCAGGATATGATAAGTAGTCGAGAGATATTCGAAGAGTCTGTAGAGCAACAACTGCTTGTGTTGCTCCAGGCGTGGAGTCTTCACCCGCGAATGGGTGAAAGTACTCCTCCTTTCTCCCAGCAAACTCAAGTCGCCTTGACCAGCAACTGAGCTTCCGGTCAGTCGGGGAGCCGCAGTTTCAACTCCGAAGCAGTAGTTGGAGTAAACGGGTGCGGGATGTGATCAGGATAGGAGCCCGTCCGAATGATGGTGTTGCGCAAGGGCCTTCGGATCCCGTGTTTGTGAGTCTTTGTCGGTTGATCTTGAGATCTCGCACTGGCAGCTGATCAAAGAGGCCGGGTAGAGCACTCGGAAGTCGGAAGCAAGCGAGTGTGAGAGCAGCAGAGTGCGGATAATGACCTGAGTGAGCATCCCGGGTCAGCTGTGTGAGGGAGGTCAAGGTCTTTCTACCCACCCGCCTGACCAAGGCAGGAGGGCGGCATCCAACTAGAAGCCGTCCCAGCAGTTCGGAAAGGGTTGCATGATGCTATGCGATGTGATGAAAGCAGCGACTCTGGCAAAGGCCGAGCAGATACCTGTGGCGTTCAGAGGGCTTGCCATGGCGTGTCGGCATGTCGTTGCAGCAGCTGAGAGAGAGCCTGAGACGGCGGTACTGGGGAGGTACTCCTTTCCAGAACTCGATGGCAAGTCCTCGGCCCCCTTGCGTGGGAAGCATATCACTGGCTTCATGATGGACGGTTCAGTAGAGGTTGCGTCAAAGGGAGCGTAGCAAGACTATGAAGCGATCACGGCCTGCGACGGATATGGACCGATCAAGACGATCTCCTGGAATGGCCGTAGAGATTCTGAGATGCTGGTTCGGGAGTTGCACCACAGTCCACACACATCCATCCCATGCCTTGCCCAGGGTTCAGCGATGTGGGGGCTCCCTGTTGTTCCCTGTCGCCCTCCACTGGTTTGATCTGCAGAGTGGGACTCTTCTAGTCGGATCTCATGGCATCCTGGTGGTGTTGGTCGGAGTTTATTGCGAAGTAAGTGGGTGATTGTGTAACCTTGGCCCATGGTGTTTTCGGCTGTCGACTTGGTCCAGGGAGGAAATTCTTCACGTCGCCGGATAAAAATGAGGCCCTTGCAATCGAAAGTCCACGTGACAGAGATTTCGCTCCTTCCTACCTTTTCTTCTCAGGAAGGAAGCACTGACAAAACACTACCTGCGCGTATATAAGCGCACGAGTGCCTACTTTGCATTATCACAGCCTACCATGCAGTATTGCGCTCTACGTGCAGCCTGACTTACACAACACCACACCCAGATCGTCGGAGCGGCATTTTCCAAACTGTCGATATCACACCGAGCCTCTCTTTTCTCCCCCTGCCTGCCTCGCATTCCGCAACCCCGCCTTACCCCTCAGGTTTACCTCTCTATCAAAGTCTGAGCCCAGGTCTCGGGTCCATTGAGGCGTCCTGAATAGGACTTTCCAGCGAATAGCCGCCTGTCCTCTCGGCGGGCGAGGGGTTTGACTCACCCTGTTGCATTTCATCCCACCTTTATGCTGCTTGTTGGTGGTAATTGTGGCCAGGCAGGGTTATTTGTACAGGCAAGGTAATGCCCCGAGCCCGTCTTGTCCAACGACCGGGTCGCTGGGTTCATCAAAGCCCCCTCTCCGAGACACTTAAGGCTGCTGTGAGACGCCGCTGTCTCTGTTGGGTGCGATTTACAACCCTACTTGACCTGGGCGACGCAGTCGGCATGTCAGCTTCCCAATCACAAACCACCTTGCCATGCAAAGGTGACTGGTCGGTTTGTGAATCACGCCCCCTTTAGAGAGCCTGTCTCACCTCTGCATGAATGGCTCTTGATTATTCCCGATCTCTGGCACGCGTTGGAGGCTTCCTTGGACGAGCATCCGAAACGATTCCAGGGTTACATGCGGGCAGATCTTCCAAGAGTGAGACACCAACTTATTGTCCTTCAGCTAGCTATGCCAGGCCACCTGCTAAGATGGGAATCTCCGCCCAGGTTGTGACCAATGCAATTAACGTTTGTCCTGGTCTTGAATCGCCATCCCATGCTCTGAAGCCCATTGGTCGCCTTGGCTTTAACTTGAACTTACAGTCGATGGCAGCTGTCAGTTCCCAGTCCTGACGCAATATTATGCTACGAAACTCACCAAGAAAGCCAATACACTAAAAAACGGCAGCAAGCCATATTCTTAGCCAGTCATCATATGAAGACGCGCAAGCTGTTTCCACTAGTCAACGGCATGGCTCATCCTTCGATCACACCAACACGAGATGCCATGTGCAGCCGTTGATAATTTCGCCATTTTTTTTAAACTCAATCTCGAACCAAGCTGTGTTGATGGCCAGAAAGTAAGTTATTAACACAAGATCATGGCATGAGACAGACCATTGCGTGAATCTAGGCCGTCGGCATCACATGGATTCAAGCACCAACAACCCAAAGGGATATTACCATATTGCTTTTGCCCTTGGCAAGATCGTCTCCACGCCCACAGGAATCATTGACCAAAATTGCGGATGTCATCCCCTTGAACTTAGTGATGTGTCTATTCTTGGCACTGCAGGTTCGGAGGGTTTCAATACATGTTGGTACCCTGCACGCCGCCCCCCGTTAGCAACCAACACGGACAACATTGGTGTATCTACTGGAATTGGAAGGACGTTGAGAAATCGTTGGACGAATGGTTCATCTTACGAGATTCCTTCTTTTCAAGGAGGTGTAGGGATGAGACCTGGGGCTCGCTTCTGAATAGATAGAGACTATTGCCTCGGTGTAAGGGCCTCCGAGCCGTACTCTGCCGTACTCCGCCGTAACTCGTCGGAGGTTCCCAGGCACCAAGGGCATGAGGCGTCCTGGGACAACATTCAGCTATTGGATTGGTGAGAGAAAGCAAGGGCCAGTTGGTTCGAGGACCTGAAATATGATTTGAATCCTGACAGTTGGAGCGTTCACTGGTATCCTCAAATGTACCCAATCACGTAGGGCTGAGATAATTGTGGCAACAAGACTCGTTCATAACGTTACTTTCAATTAGATATCCAGGCATAAGTAATAGATGACTGCCCGAGACACTGCTCCGTGATGGACGGATGTTCTCAAGACACCTGCGGCTAGCTGTCAGGAAACATACCAAGAAAAGAGTCCAAGCGCAATTACTAGCCATGGTCTATAGCGGAAAATGATATATTACAGGGAATCTTTATAACCTCACAACACCAGCCGTCCGGGCTCCTCCTCAAGAATCACCTTGCAGCGCTCCAGGAAGATCTGTGCCCGCTCTTCCTCGGCCTTGGGGACTACCAGGGTGAAGATGTTGGCGCCGCTGGACATGCCGGGGACGGTGCGGATGGTGGCGGGCTTGGGAGCGGCCTTCTTGCTGGGGGCGGCAAGAATGTCGATAATGTCGGTCTGCTTGCGGGCGGCGGGTTTAGGGGCGAGCAGCGACGCGGGAGGGATGGCGGAGATCTGGGGGAGGTAGACACCGCGGGATCCCTTGACAGCCTTGACCTTGTCGAGGCCGAGAACCTGGTCGAAGAGTTCGTTGGTGGTGGGAGCACGCTTCAAGGCAGGGAGGGCGTCGTTGGCGACCTCGGCGGCGCGGCCGACAAATGTAGAGATGGGCAGGAAGACGCCAAGAGTATCCTGGATCTTGTTCTGGACCTCGATCACCTTGGACAGGGAGACGGGGATAGACAGCTCGAGGTTCTCGATCACAGGGGCCTTGGGAGCAGGGGCGGCCTCCTTGGGGGCTTCCTTGGGTGCCTTCTTCTCAGCGACCTTGATGTTGCTCAGGTCGAGGTGGACGAGGGAGTTGAAGTTGGACTCGTTGGCGGCGGGGGTATCGGGGTTGATAGCTCCGAGGTAGGCGAGGATATCACCCTTGAGCAACCGGCCGTGGGGACCAGTACCCTTGATCTTCTTGACATCGTCTTCGCTGATGCCCTTCTCCTTGACGAGGTGTCCGACCGATGGCAGGAGAGGGTACTTGTGCTCGTATGTCCCGGTGCCCGTGGGCTTGGGTGCGCTCTTCTTCTCGGCGGGCTTAGACTCGGTCGGGGCGGTCTCCTTGGCCTGGCTGGGCTGGGCCTTGGGCTGCTCGTCGGCGGGGATCTCGAGTGAGCTGATGTCGTCTCCGGCCTCGGCGATGACGGCGATCCGCGATCCAACCTGAACGGCCTTGCTACCGTCAGCCGTCATGATCTTGACCATAACGCCGTCGTCCTGGGCCTCGACGTCCATGGTGGCCTTGTCGGTCTCGATCTCGAGCAGCACGTCGCCGGCGCTGAAGGACTCCCCCTCCTTGACCTTCCAGCTGGCGATGTTACCCTCGGTCATGGTGGGCGAGAGGGCCGGCATGGTAAAGTTCTGAGCGTCGAAGCATCGCGTCGATGTGGTGAAGGCTACACGGTAGAGGAAAAAAGGTCACCATGTGTTAGTCGGTGCGCGACAAAAGGGACCGAGAGGGAGGAAGACGACATACTACGAGCGACGACGACGGAACGGGTAGCGACGACACGGGCAGACGCCCTGCATGCTGCCGCGAGAGATGCCATTGCACACAGCTCAATTGAGGACGAGAGACGGCGATGTGAGGCGGGCTGTGGAGGGGATTCAGGGCACGTAGGAGCGGCCTCGGGGGGTGTTGGAGGGATGGATTTCTTAAGCTGAAGCTGTTGGGATGGCGGCGCTGAAGTGGATACGGCGACGTTTTTTTTTGGCGGGAAGCTTAGGAACGCAGGGGACAGAAAACTAACATTTTCTTAACGGTTTTCGTCACTTATACACGATTTAAATTATCGTCTCATTAACTACTTAAAAGCTTTAATATTGATAAATACTATTAAGTATGCCTAAATCTTGTTCTTCCGACTTTTTAATAAGAATTCACCAAGATGGCTTCACCAGCTCAACACCCAAGCTCATCAGTATATCTCTCAACTGTTCCACTTAATTTGTCGCCCTCCCTCATCCCCCTCGGACGACATTTTGCCGCAACCCGACCACGCCAAAATGATCACCGGCTTATTTCCGCTCAATCCCAGATGGGTTTAGCTCGATTGAAAGTTGAATTTCTGGATAGCTTCACTTTTTACTTGAGAGGCTGCAAAATATTACACATGAGTGCGAGTTTATGACGCCACGTACCCAATTGAACGCTCTATAACCCATAAAACATACTACACGCCTCGACAGTACCCGTCTATTCTGCTCAAACGACACAAGCCCCATCATGGCCAGCCTCGCAAGGGGCTTTTGCCTCCCCGGTCTCCGGCCCCTCCTCGCACCCCGCGCCGCCGAATCCGCCCTCCTCCGATCCCGCCTCTTCACCACATCCCTCCGCCGAGCTGCCCGGGCTTCCCAGTCGGGCTACAGATCCACCCGGACTGCGCAGGTCCTCGGCACTCCTCCCGCAACGGCCGCTTCCCCGAGCCAGTACGCCCTCATCAAGAGCCTCGCGAAAAAGCCCACCCCGACGATCCTCTACGAGGGCCCCTCACATTTCTGGTTCTACTTTGGCTGCTGGACGAGCGGTGTTTCTCTTCTCACATGGACGGCTCTCACTGCGAAGACGGCTGTCAACCAACCCGAAGGTGTGCCGCAATGGGTCGGCTACACGTTCGGCGCCTCCTACCTATTGCTTGTCTCTATGGGCTTCTACCTCATTACCAAAACTCCCAACATCGTCGGCCGTATCCGTATCCTACCAGCCCAGGCTGCTAAGCTCGCACCCACCGCCGGTAGCCCCGTGGGCATCGGCCCTGCGCCTATTCAGATGGAGGTGACTGTCAAGCGCATGTTGCCTATGCTCCAGCCCAAGGTTGTTACAGCACCACTGGACAAGGTCTGGCTCAAGAGTCGATTCTCGCTGCCAAGCGAGTACGTGCCAGAGCTGAAGCGTCTGGAGATGGAGCGTGAGACCGAGGTCAAGCGAGAGGCACTACGCAAGTTCGACATGGAGCACTTGTTCACCATGCCCTTCCGCAGGATTGGTCGAGCAGTGACCGCCATGTTCAACGGAATCAAGTCGGCCTGGACTGATATGGGCTTTGGCATTATTTGCGTGAACGGCAAGGACTACAAGGTGGACGTGACCAAGGGCTTTGCACATGATAGGTTCCGCACATTGGAGAAGATCCTGGAGATCGAGATTAATTGACACTCGGGGGACTTGTAAGTATCATGATAGAAGAGGACTTTGAGACGGCGACTCCGTGATATACCGCGTGAGAGCCGAGATGTGTTACTACCCTGTATGTTACCGTGTAAGAAGCGTGTATGAAAAGTCTTCATCCAAAATATGAGCCTCATAGCCTCACTTCTCAGTTACGGGAGCACAGCCACAGACTGTAATGTTCCTGAAGAATATTCCCGCAATACAGAAAACTCCTCTGTGACCACATCAGTCTCTTCAATCCCTCGTGATGGGATCGCCCGATCCATCGGGCACGCGAGCAACGGCACATCGCCATGATGGAGTTGATTGCATACAAGCAGCAACGTTTCCCAGCGGTTCCGAGATGCTCCCACAGGTAAGCAAATCGCTCAGCTTAACAACACACCGCCAAGATCGAGGCGAGCAAACGACCCAACTTCTGCAGCATAGACATCACGTATGATGGAAGCTACATGCTACGTCTCAACTCCACAGATGAGATGCGACTCGAGGGGTGAGAGTCCACCAGGTAGACGATACATGGGGCTCTCGTTTCGTCCGCCCTCTTTCCCTGAATGGAAAGTTGGAAATCTCCACATCTCGATTGGAACGTCGATGGAACAAGTCCATGTTTGCGGCACTTTGCATCTCAAAGACCCCTCGTGATCTTCCAGAGCGGCGGGCCCCCAAGCCAAACTGGCGTGTCGTTCAACTCGACTCGACTTACACGCAGTTTGGTCAGCCACCACCAGATCAGCCCACGCACCACTACATGACCTCTCACAAAGGGAGTCAGATTTGCCGCAAAGCCACCCGTCGAAACAAAGGGTCGAGGATGGCGCCGGCACTGACATTCGACTGCAAACGCCCATGGCGCGAGTGGCTGGCACATCGTAGACAAGTCCCTGCACGATCGTTGAGGGGTCCATGATCAACATGGACAGTTATCTCCTCAGATTGGTTAGTCCAAGCCGCTTAAGCACAAGCACAAGCAACAGCAGCAATGACCAACATGGAATCTGTCCTTCGGCATGACGAAAGCAGGATCCAAACATATCCCGAAGGCGGGGTTGGAAAAAAAGTTGAAAATTTCCTCTTTGACGTACCTATCCAAAAACTTGGAGCCCCTCGATACCTATCTTTACCCCTCCAAACCAAGGTCGTCATCCGTCGTCCAGTCTAATGGGAAGCGGTCAGCCAGCCTCACCCTTCTTCCCAGCTTCAGCAGACGAGGCTATCCCTGACAGTTTCGCTGAACAGCCTTTTGACGATCCAATGCAAGCAACGTCGAAAGCTCCACAGGCGGGGCCTAGCGCCGTGGGTTTCGATTCCATGTTTGCTTTGTGGGCGCCCATCAAATCAAGCGATTCGCGCGCGCTGTCACTCGAGTTTGGACGGCGGCGGGCGCCTTGAGATCATGCCATCGAGCCATGATGAGTGAACCATGGCAATTTTATCGTGCATGTACATCTTTCGAGAGAATAATCGAACTCTGTCCGGCACATGGATTCAATACCTTGTGCCATCGTCAAAACACTCGGACCCCTTCCCCTGCAAATCAGGGTCCAAACCTTAGAGTCGTAGCCGTAGCCGTAGCCGCGCGCACACCATCGCCTAGGCTTGTCATTGAAGCCTGCGCCATCGTCATGTCAGCTCTATCAGAAATGAATTGCCGACATCTGTAAAACTCCATCCGGAGGGTCCCCAAGTCCAAACAAAGATGCCTGTCAGCAGCTGTTGTGGGCTCATCGACGTCATCAAGCTTGTGCTCCTGGTTGGGTCAGCCCTTTACGGCTTGCGGTGAGCCTCTGAGCGTCCCACCCTGGACGAGGGACCCTGACCTGGGGGGGCTTAGTGCAGTGGAAACGATGCGGCCGATACCTTGGAAGTGCTTCTTGTCAAGATGAAGATCAAGACCAGATTCAGAACTCCAACCTCAAGAAAGCTGCGCGCGACAAAGATTCGTGGCCGACGCGCCTTGCGCTGCCTCTCTTATTGGCGCCCACGCAGATTCTGACAGATAGCCAACAAGACATTCCGAGGGCTGAAAGGAAAAAAGGGACCACAAACCAACGAAGTACTCGTACTTGTCGTGTGCTCGGCTCGGTGTAAGCGGAGGGAGGCTCGACGTGATCTTTCATTGTCGATATCCGTTGCCTCAATGTTGCAAGTCCGAAGTCATGTTACCGCCGAGCACCAGCAAGCCAACAGTTGCACCAGCCCTGCAGTAAAGGTCCACTCTGTGCCTTGCTTCAAGCCCAAGTCCTCGGAGCGTTTTTCTCGTCGACCGGTCGGTATGTGGGCGATGCAACATGCCTCCCTACCCACTGTCTTTGTGCCCCAAACGAATACGCATCCGCCTTTGTCACAGAACAGCGGCGCCCATTCAAGTGACTGTTCCAGGCGCTCGTGAAACATGGTTCCACGCAATCACTTTCGCCCTTGAGAGCAGGGGCCCAAACATCTGGAGCAGTATCATGATATATGCAGATAGCCGCATCGGCGGAGTGGCTTGCGAACAATAGAGGAGAGCTCACTTGGACCATCCCATCTGATCAGACGTCTGCTCACTCGCTTTTTCACTACCAACGCCAGATCCCCTCTAGATATGCGTGCCCCTCGTGCTCCTTGGAACTCGACGAATGGTGTGCCCCCTAAGAAGCAGAATCATCATTGTCGCGCGTCGGTTTGCAGCCCATCGACTCTCAAAATGCAGAGGTGGCATGTCGCCCAAGCAGATTGGACAATTCCCCACCAGATCGAGGGGTAGAGTCCTCTAGCGAAAGAGGGCCTGGACCTTTGAACAGAGACCCTGATACGCGCCGTAGTGTCGTCCCTCGTCGGTCGATCGCCGACGGTGTCCCTCAAGGACAGTTGAGACGACACAGGGCCATACACCTGCGTGAGTGTGTTGCGTGATGCTTCGCGAATGAGCCAGAATATCTTTTTAGGTGCATCGTGACATGTACTAAGGCACTGGAGATCGCTGAGGGTGTCATGTCCTGCGGTCTCCTGTATGTGATGCTCAAATCCTGGGGTTGGACGACTTGGATGTCGCGGGGGGTCAAGCAGCGGTGAGCGGAGGATGGGCGAATCACGTCCGATATCCCAGCCAATATCAGCAAACCCAAGCATCCAACACGGTCTTCCCCCGAGCTGCCACCTCCCGTAGCTTCGAGGGAGAGAGGAATGCGACCGTCAAGCGTCATGTGCCCCTCGTTTCAATTTGGCATAGGATGCACCT